CAGGTATTGAGGTAGTAGTAGCGCTGAGTGCTATATTCCCAGTTGCGCATCAAAGAGACTCATAAATTTAGTATTTATCAAGCAAAATCTCGTTCCTATATATTTATTTCGCTATCTAAAAGATAAATGTTAATTCGAGACGGAATTGAGGTATATGTATGCGTAATATTACAAATACGAAGATATTATTATTTATTTTTCTTATTAATTCTATTTTTAATCTAATCTAATAGAGATGCATAGACAGTAAAAAAAGGTGTAAAAGTGTTTAAATATGTGCATATGTATATATATTTCGAGTATTGTTATAAGTTATACGAACTTTACACCGCTGTATTTTCCAAACAAAGCGGTATAATAATTCTGAAATTATGTGTAACGTCTGCATAAATACTCTTTAATATCATAGTTTTTCATCAAAATCTTACTTTTAGTTTGGAAAATATAAAAAACAGAAAACAAAAGTAGCACGCTAATCTCAAGGAACACGTATAAAAAAAAATGTCTACTTCAATTACAGACATTTCGGCTCTCGAACGGTCAATCTTTTTTCCAATTGCTCGATCAACGAGTCAGATAATATTTCAACGTATACGCGGCGCAAGTTTCAACGAATTCTTAAAAGGCTCATTTTATGCTACTGCTACCTTAAAATCGCACGAGGTACGGCGCGGTACGGTGTTACGAAGTGAAGGAAGGAATAAACGCGATTCCAGAACACCTTCTTTCTTTCACCGAGAGCGAATCTCGTTCCCGATGCGTTAAAACGGCAACGCCAGAGATAACGTCTGTTGGAACTCGTCTACCGCTCGCGAGTCTTTAATAACGTACAGCGTACGGCTGCTTGTCGCGGGTTTGCCATCACTCTTTACACGCTAACCGCTCGTTCCTCCACTCTTGCCAGGCTCCACCTGACGGCGCGTTCCTACGGAATCTCTCGCGGCAGAAACGAAAAGAACGTTCGTTTGCCGTACCGTACTTTTCAAAGGAGAACCTTGTGTGTTTCTTCTCCCGGCGTGTGACTCCTTTAAGAAGCTGCGTCACAGTAAGCGGACGCCGAATCGGCGAGAGAGTACTTCTTGCATGATTTAAATCCGACTTCTCTCTCACGAAGGTGCGCGCGAGCGCGCCTATGTGCCGACTTACGTCACTTCGTCACCTGGATTTTAAAAAAAAAAAACGTTACACCGTGTGACCGAGAAGGTACTCGTGGCGCGACAAGAAAAAGAAAAGCAAAAAAAGAAATTAACCGCGTATTCTAACAATAACCGCGCGATTATAACGCATAGGAATTTATTTAGAATACTCTCGTCGAGAGAGAGAGAGAGAGAGAGAGAAAGAGAGAGAGAGAGAGAGAGAGAGAACGTTTTCACTATGTAACGATTGCATACTTCTATAGATAGACCAGTTAGCCGATTGTTGAAGGAGGCACGACGTTACGAGACATAGCGGTAAATTAAAAAAAAAAGTCAAGTAAACGATTCTTCGAAGTTCCCACACACGCAGAGAGGCAAGCTTTCGAGCGCCAAAGAATAATTATTACGGGCGCTAATTCTGGCTCTTCGAGAAACGTCAACAAAAAGGAAAAAAAAGAACTTTGATTCGCGAGCATTCGTTGTTACACACAGTCGACAATAATCGAAGTAACGAGTTTACATTTCTATCTATCGCTATACTATCCGATAAACTTCAAGGAGAAAAGATAAATAAATAAACAGAGATACGTTAACGTTAACAATCGAGCTCTATACTCTCTTATCCCGCTCGAATTTATTAAGTATGTCGCGATATACCGGCGGTGTAGATTCCTTTTCCCGGTCCTCACAGGGGCCACTGTTTCAGCGTAGCTTCTCCTTCGGTTTTAGCACGACGCGATTCTTTCTCCCGCACGGAGGAAACAAATTTCGCTGGAACAGCAAATGTCTGTCAATATGGTGACAGCAAACAAAAATTTGTTTGGACAGCAGAAAGATTTGGTAAGGGTATTAATCGTCCATATATCCAGCAAAATGAATACTCTTAACAAATCTTTCCGCTTCTGTCCAGATTAATTTTTTGCTGTCCAAACAAATTTTTTTTGCCGTCACTATATTGACAAATATTTGCTGTTCTAGCAAAATTTGTTTTCTCCCTGCACGACTCTAATCGCTTCTTTCGTCTCACACGGAACGAAGAATCCCTGACAGGAGAGAGTCGGCCCGTCGAGAGTTAGACGAGGGTCTCCTTCCTTGGGACCCCCTTCGAATGAGTTATCAAATCGATCGATGCGGTCTCCTCCATTCTCCTATTCCATTTTCCGGCGGAAAGAATTTGTCTCCTCTAATTTGTCGCGTTTTTACGCTCACCGTTGGTTTCGCTGTTATCGTCGTTTAAACCGAATAAATGTAATGAATGGGGATTAAAGTACTAATTACTTCTCAGCTACAGCTCACTTCGTGAACGTTAATATTTGATAACGATTCTAATTAAGAGAAGACACATACTGAGGGTTGTCGCGGAATTATAAGTAAAAACTTCGCCGATGGGGCTGATTGAGTTCACGAAGACGAACGGGAAGGTTTCGGTAAACATGGATAACCGTAAACTAAGCTTCTCGAAGCGTTTGGATTACGGATACTCGATGTTCATTGAGACCTTCCTGTTCCTCGTTTTCGCTCGAGTTTTGTTCAGTCGGTCGGTCGGTCGAGGCTTCACGTATAAATCGCGAATGCTCTGTGTACAAAACCGGCAAAACGCTGAAATTCTTTTAATTACATGTCGACATACTCTCTCTCGTATTTGTAGTTACCTATCTAATTACGATTTGCAAATTAGATCGCAGAGGCAAGTGAAAATATCCCGCAACGGACTCTCATCATCATCATCATCATCATCAGCGCTCTATTTTCCGCATGCACGTGCCGTATGTACCGCGGACGATCGCTATTTATTAATTCTATGAACATGGTTACGATATTATTGCTATTACACGCGTATTCATTATATACTCTATACTCTGCGGCGTGTTAAATCGCTCGAAGTGATCAAAGGCCGGATATAGTGGCGGACGATGCTCAATGAATCGGTGGTGCGAGTTAATCGGAGCGCGAGTGCGAGAATGTTTGAGCGCAGCCTCCGCTGAAGGATCTTGCTGTCTCTTGTTATACCGGGAAGATATGGAAAAGAGGGAGCCCCGACGCGCCATTGTATATTATACACATATAAATATATTATACGCATAAATATCGTCATGTGCGAGAGCGGGCTAGGGAGAAAAAAAGAGAGAGATGGATTATCGTTGTTATCAATGGAAGGAAAATCCGAGTACATTTCGTTGCGTTTTCTAATGCCTGCGGGACAGGATCGTTATTACGATGCGAGAGAGAAGGAAAGAGAGAGAAAGAGAGAGAAAGCGAGTGAGAGTGAGTGTGTATGTATGTATGTACGTGTGTGTGTGTGAGAGAGAGAGGGAGAGAAAACGTCGATAATTTTTTATTTTTCGATCGCTCCCCCCTTTACGATTACTTGACTTGTTCGGTGTGTAAGTGTTCCTAAGAAGCGATTGTTACTCCTTTGCATTATACTGAGTTCCATGCACCAACAATGATGATAACTCCCCTATCGTTAAGTCCGCCTCTCGTTTCAAGAGATCTCGAACGACATCTCGAAAGAAAGAGAAAGGGAGAAAAAGACAGCACGGCATTTTCTTCTGCCGCCGTGTTCGATGTCGTCAATCGACGCGTGACTTCGCGAGGCGGCGGACTAACTTTCGAGCGGTATCCCGAGTCTGTCGCGGTGACATCCGGAAACTTTGGCGCGCGCGGAACGACGCGCATAGAAGAACACTGCAAAACGGCAGCGGCGACGATGTTACATACGCAATTAAACTTGTAGCGTTTATTACTTAGTAGATAAGCTAGATGCGACGTAGAGAAGCGCGCGCGTGTGTCATCGATGTAAATTTTTATAAGGATTCCAAGATAAAAAAAAAGAAACATGAAACGAAATGTAACGTAAGCGTAGCGGTCCGCAGCCGAGAGGGGGGATGATCCCAGTTTCGATGTCGCGGACGACGCGCGAGATACGACTCGACGGTTAGCCGCTGTTTCGTCGAACGAGGCCTCCGGAGGGAAGGTCGAGGGAACGCGAGAACCGGTATCTGCGATCGTCGAGCGCGACGGAGCGTGTCGCCGGGAGGACGACGAGCAAGGTGCGCGATCCGCGATCGATGATGCATTATCCGTCGACGAACGCGCGCGGGTCAACACACGACACCACCCTTTCACTCACCACCTTCCCTTGGCCGATCACGCTGTTGTTTGTCACTTGCGCTTGATCTTCGATCGGTAGATTCTTCGCGACACGTGGCGACAGTGAACAGGCGGAACAGATGGACGACAAGACAAATAGACACACACACACACACACACACATACATACATGCATACGGACGGACGGACGGACGGATCGGTGGTTTAATCAATTATTAACGTCAGATATATGCATTATTCCGTACCAAGTACGGCTAGAGTTATTACCGCGAGCAATTTATTATAGAATTAAAGAGTCAACTCTGTATCGCGAGTGACGGAGCACGAACGAAGAAAGGCCTGCATCGACCATCTCTACACTCTTTACACTTGCCGTTAATGCCCCCTCCCCCCTCCTGCCACCCTCGTCACGACCTCGTACCC